TCAGACTGAACACACGTTTCTAAGGCTTTTGGTAAGAAAACATGGATGTTCTCAGAATAGTTTAGTTCTAAAAGGGCTATCTAGTTAGTTCATGTCTACAGAGAAGTAATGTATAGCTGTCTGGGTTTAGCTCTTTCTGAGTAAGGGTATGGCTAGGTTTACCTTGGGAGAACTGTTACCTCAGAAAAGTCAAGCAAGGCATGATAGCTTTGGTACTACAGTCCATCCAGAAAATACGCAGGATTCTGGGTGGAAGTGTGCTTTATTTGGCATAGTAGTGTTGCCCCTTAAGAACTGTCTTCAGTTTAATGTAAGAGTAGTTAGGCTTCCACCAAACAATATGATTTCATTCAGCCTAGCACGTCATGGCAAAGAGATCAAAGTTCAGAGAAACTAAAGGCTGTCTACCATCTCCTTACAGTGTGATCCCCTAGCCTATTTTTATAGGACTTAACCACTGTGAAAGGAAAACATTAGTTAGGAGCATCTCTCTTCATATGTTCTTGATCATTTGATTTGGCTTTTTGTGTGCTGTCTTGAATGAGACCAAGCACTCACCTGTGAATATAGCCTGAAATACTGGGATACCAATAAGTTACTGGAAAAATTTGGGAATAAACTACTGTACTTATAAGCTGTTTTCATTATCTTTATAGGTCTGATTTTTAAACATCTTGTTTAGGGACTATATAAGGTCTTTCTTAGGTTTATGTATAACTAACTTGTCAAACTGTATGCCTATATTTCTAGTCCTCCTGAATTACTTGTCTTTTTACTCATTCTCTGCTTTTAATATCTGTAGATAAAATGAAGCAGGATATTTTCTTTTTACTCCTTAGTTCTCCAATATGGACTAGATGATCTCCAGAGCTCCCTTCCAATTCTCACCATTCTCTGATTCTGTGAATATCTTTAATTTAATCACGGTAGCTGCTCCACAGTTCAGCTGTGAATACGCTACTATATGCATTAAATTGCTTTAGTCATTTTCATCTTTTTGAGTTGAAAAAAATTGGTGCACTTGCTTATAATAAGAATATACAGTATAAAGACAGAACAACACAACTCAACAAAGCTCTTACCTTCTACCTTGCCAATATTTTCATGAGATTAAAGGAAAAGACTGTAAGGAGAGTCGTTAGGAAAAGGGGGGGGTGTAGTGTGTCTGTTTTTTCTTACCTATTTCTTCATCTTTTGTTTCTTGGACACTCGCTAAAAAGTCCTTTTCAACTCTCAGCACTTCTTCCTGGCAATGACAGGCTGCATATTTTTCCAAGAGATTTTTGTTCAAGTCAATAAATGCCTTCCCCCATTTAAATTTCCTTAGGAGAATGCTGGCTAGGTCTGGGAATCCTAAAACAGAAAATAAATTATCAGTTTTCTTTTTCAGTGTGAGATTTCACTCAGTTTACAGGTTTCTAAGTTCAGTATATACTTACGTATCACTACAATAGTGAGATGTTTGCCAGCATTTTTTCAGTGTTCAAGGATTCAGACTTTTAAAAATATTAAAAATATTTTCAAATTTCAGTTTAACTCAAAATATCTAACTGAAGCCAAGAAAAGCTGATAGTCTTTTAGTGAGTGTTATATAAAAATATTTTGTACAGGTAATGAATAATTCAAGGTCTAGCTCCCACAGTCCTTCTGTAAGAGTGCAGTTGACATACAGTATTTTCAGAAGTTAAGACTTGTCTGCAGTATAGTAGAGCACGTCTCTTCAAGTGTCAAGAAAGTTCTGTGATGAGTTTGCAGAACATCACAAGAGGGGGCAATTTCTTTTGTTCTTAACCAGAACCCACCCTAATAACAGAGAGCTGTTACCTTTCATTAAGACAAAGGTGCCTAAGGATTCACACTCTGTCTTCTCCGGCTTTTTTGAACAGTTTTTCTAACATTAAGTGCCATCCTGACAAAACCGGGATCATCAGTTTATGTGTCCTGTTTATAGCTGACATGAATACCCCACAGATACCTCAGTGCTACCAGATACAAGTACTTGGAAGAAAGCTAGACAACCTGATTCAAAACTCAACAAAGTGATGACCATGGGACAGCATTACAGTTTATTCTACCACAGATC